TATATCCTGAGTCTTGAAAAAGCTCAATCAACAGCTCAGTTTCTGAATCGTGAGGAGCCCGGAGTTCACAGTACTGCTGCTTGGTGAGGTAATTGGCTGATAAGATGTGATTAGAAAACCAAGCCTTTCCTTGCGATAGGGCTACACTGAAGTATTACGGTAGGTACTCAATGAAACTTAGTGTCGATCGTCCTTCTCATTAAATGATCAGCCCATTAATGTATTGCTTTAGAGACGTAATCCACTGGATCGCGAATACGAGGCATTGATCTCATATCTGAACTGTAAAGTACGAGATGTTGAGTGCATCGCTTGTATTTCATTACTTCAGCGTTGTTCCAGCGCTCTATGAGCTGTTCGGAGAGCCTTTGATGTAGCCACAGTGTCATACCGCATCTCTGCTGCGTAACAGAGCGCAAATAGTACGGTTGGATCGAACAGATGAGCTCGGAGCTCTGAGTCTGCCAGCTTGTCGTGTCTTCCATTAGGGTCCGAAAGCGGTTCAAGCTGCTCTTCGCCCCTTGATCTTCTTCTTTCAGATCGTTCTCCATTTCACGCGCAATACGTAAGAAAACATCTTCGCCAATGGAGAGTCTTCAAATTCCTCCTGGTCCTCGCAGAAACTCTGGCGTCTTTCTTGTGTTGGTACGCAGTCTTATATGCTTTTCTTCTTCATTTATTTCCTTACATGTACCTCTCTCGCTGCAATGCACTGATTTCATTACCCATTGCAAGGCGGCGGTAAATAGCTTTGGCTAACTAAGGAGACGATGGAAAAGCTTATCTGTTGTGGAGTAGTTGTGGTAGCAGTCTGCCAACGTCCTCACGTAAGATGGGTCCACCCCCTTGGTCGACGAGCGCTGACAGTATAGCACTGTCTCGACGCTGTCAAACGCTTTCTCATAGTCGAGGAAGGTTAGCATGAGAGATAGGCGGCACTTTCGGCAAACCTCGATAATCCTCGAAACCATCTGGATGGATCCACGGCTGAATACCGCTTGTTCCATGTTTAAGCTTCATCCAGTATTCTTGATATGCGAGTGAGAACATCTTTGTGAGAAGCTTGTAAAGCACGAGCAGCAAGCATATTGGACGGTAGTTCCGAAGATCCTTCCTATCGCCCTTTTTATGAAGTAGAGTTTGAAAGATTCTCCACTAGCCGGGAATCTTTTCCTTTTGGAGGTAATTCGTTACGTGTGCCGCAAATATCTTCGCGGGCGATACTCTCGCTCTCTTGAGGATCAGCCAAAACGTGGTTCAATCGTCTGAATAGTAATAATTCGCGTACTTTATAGGCAGAATCCGGATGGCATATCTCCAGTGGGGATAACGGGATTTGACGCGAATGCTGATGAGCGGGAGAGATGTATTGATGTAGAATCTCTTTGTAATTGATTCTATCTTCTGTCGAGAAGAAAGGCGAGTCCTGCCTTCGTTTAATAATGTTTTCAACGGAATACGGTAGTCGAAAAGGTCCCGTCTGTACCTCTTTAGACTTTTCCTTCCCTGTGCTGCTTTCAAAAGTCTTAATTGTTTTACTTTCGAAAATCTTCTTGCAAAGCTGTTCTGCAACTGGTTTTGACTATAATTCGCTCGCAGTGTGACGTAGTCGGATCTAGACTCAATGTTCTCCTCGTTGTCCTTCGTTAGATCCTTCTCGGTGGGCCAGTCACAAGTGATCAGGAGCTCGTCTAATCTAATGCCGTCATATACGACTTCTCTCCTTCCTCCAGTACGGTGACAAATCTTGTTTCTCAGTTCTGGCTGATTCGCACTTCTGCTCGAAGGAGGTGGTGATCTGAACCACCGCTGAAGTATGGTACCACTGAGACTCTTGAGACGCAGTAAGCACTATCTTCGGTTGGTGAGAATATGGTCGATCTCCGCATGAGTCGTGCTGTTGGGCGATTCCAATGTCCACCGCCGGTTTTCCTTCTTTATGAAGATGTAGTTGCCATGAAAGAGTTATGTGGCGGATAGCCCAACAAAACGGTTACCATTTCATTCCAGAGTCCTTATCAAAATCTCTCGATTACACTCCTCTCTTCTGGAATCCCGATCTTCGCATTGAGCACCCAACCAACTTGTAAAAAAGATTCTCCACTGATGACTTCTTCTAATTAGTCATAAAAAGCATTCAGTTCCTGAGCCATCAGCTGCTAAAGTTGTAGAATAGGGTTGATGATAGCGAAAGTTTTTGATACAGAGGACCGAGTCGGATAGCCTGGCGAGGTGATAGGATCTCATGCGAATCGACAAGATAGACAACAGATGGGTGTACGACAAATCCAACGCCTCCTCGTTTCGTGATGAACTTTCCCACCATGAATGATAAGTGTGCCACCACTCAGCTGCCTCGCGTTCTTTCTAGAATTTGTTTCCTGCAAAGTGATTACGTGGTAGTTGATGCTCCCTGTTTGAAGGGGTGAAGATTTGCGTTGGTTTAGACTGTCCTGGCGTAGCAGGTGCGGAGCATGAGACAATCTTTATGGTCAGCCGTTGACGTGTCCTTTTCGTCCGAAATTCATGGCGTCCTGTGCAGCCTGACACTGGTCTTGATGACGTCCGACGCCGTAGATGTGATC